AAGTCCACACATCTTCAAGCTGCTAAGGTTGAGGAACACTGGTCTAGGGAGCTACATGTGGCGGGCCATAAGCAGCAGGCCTTTTCTGCTGTGGTGCCCGTATTGTGGAAACTTCTTCCCCCAGAGCTGAGTTTGGCTTCATCACTTCTGAGCTTTCAAAGGTCCCTCAAGCCTTGGTTATGCCAGCAGGCCTGGGGACCCCAGGGGACGGGTGAATTAGTGAGGTGACTCCAGTCTTATTAACCCCCCTCTATTGTTTTCTCTTTCTGTTTTAGTTCTGCTTTTATAGTTTTTAATGTTTTTTAATAATTACTATATCATGTTTTTAGGCAATGTTTGTTTTATGTATTTATTGTTTTATTGGCTTGCTGTACACCACCCAGAATCACCTTTTGTGAGAAGGGCCGCCATATACATTTGATTCATAAATAAATAAATAAAACAAAACATTGGGCCATGCTCCTCACTCACGAGAGCATGCATTCTTGTTTCCTTGAAAAGCCTCCCACTACTACTTTCTATTTTTGCAACAAAAAAAAAGGGGGGGAAGGGAATAAGAAGTCTTTCTTGAAGGATAGTGCTAAGAATGTTGAATCTGGAAATACTCAAAGTATGTTTTGCTGCTGGCAGAGCAGATTTATTTCTGCCAAATACTATACAGTGTATTTGCATGTTCTAACTGGATATGGTAGTTTCAGTCTGTCTCATACAAAGATAAGCGATTAGCTGCTTGTTTTTGCATGGCAGAGCCAATTTGGCAATGCCATCGGTTGCTCTCCTCTGGAGAAATCCCTCTCTGTCTGGTCTACGCAGCAGGAGGTAAAGTGGCAACTTCTTTTCTTGTTTTTTTCAGAAGTTTGACCAACTTGGAGGGGAGTGTTCTGAAGGTTACATTCCTTTCAAAATGAATCACTGATTCAATAAGAATTCAAGTTTTTATTATGAATATTTATGTATTTGCTGGTTAGGGTTAAATCCCACCTTTGTTCAGGAGCTCAAGCAGCAGACTTAACACTCCTTGGTAAAAGAATTTGAAGGGAGTTGGAAAAAAACAAAAAGGAAAAAGGGGGAAAGAAAAATAATTGAACCACCACTTCTGAAGAGGCTGAATGCAGTCAGCCTTTTCCAGACACACCCGTAGAGACAGTCACCCTAGCTCAAATCATTTTCTATAAAGTGAAATCAAAATTCTAATTGGCATCTATCTTGCACTAAGGTTGCTAGATATTTTCTGGATCTCCAGCAAAATGTCTAGAATAGAACTTCTATTCTATTCTATTGAGCCAGCCCCAGGAAGAGATGTGCCTACCCCTCACCTGAAGGACAAAGACATAAGCTATCTCCCCCTATTTTTAAAAGCTCTCCAGAGAGGGTTGCTCAGAGTTGGATTTTCCCAGATTTTGGTTATTTCTCCCACTACTTGGACTGCTAAATCAGGTTGGATTGATTTGGATCAGATTTAGGACTTATTTTAATTCTTTCGAGTTTAGGAGAGGATTTTTCCCCACTCACTACATCAGCCAGTCATAGTTTAGTGAAACTTAGGGAAAACAAGCAGTTTCCTGACAACTATAGCTACAAATAACTATATTAAGAGAAATTCAATATGTTTGTATATGAAGAAAAGCGTTAATGGTTGGATTTCTGCATATTGTGCAACCAAAAAGTACAGAGCTGTTAGATGAGGAGGAAAATACACACTGCTTGCTACAGTTCTGTGGTCTAATTCACCTAATATGCTTTGTTATAATATAGTTTGTTTGGGTTTTGATTATGATTTATGGCTTAGAGTTGCCATTTTCCTAACCTGGGTACCCTCTAGTTCAGAATTTTCCAAGTTGGCAACTTCCTTATATTTGGGCTTTTCCTTATATTTGGAATTTTCCAGCCAGCACAGACATTGTTGAGAATTTTGGCGGTTAGGCCATAACCGCTGTTGTAAGCTAGAGAGTTCATGAAATTGACATATTTGGAGGGTACCCAAGTTGGGGGTGGCTGTCAGAATGTTGTGCAAACCCAGCCAATTATGGTGTATCCAGTTTGTCATGTTAAATAAATTTTGATTTATTTGAAATGTGATCCCAGCCGGTTTCAGATTAGCAATTCCGTATATACTGTATTAGAAGAGAATCAGTCTCTGCCACTCCCCAGTAGGCCACAGCAATAAGAGAAAAGCCAGAAATATTTAATACAGTTAAGAGTTTATTCTTTAATATCAATAAATAAGCAGCTAGAAGAATCTCTTAATTTCCTCCAAGTTGAGGAGTTTCATTTGTTTGTTTTTCCTAACAAAATGTTTCCTTCTGTTTATGTGTGCATTAAAAAATCCAGCCCTTGGCTTGAGGTGGGTTCTAGTCATGAGAAAAGGAAGGAACGAACATAGTGTGGTCACTAATGCGGAAAGCAGTTGGGACAGTGTGTGTGTGTGTGTGTGTGTGTGCAAAGGCAAGGGAAGGCAGGTGGCTCAAAATGTACAGAAGCCGAGTAGCTGGTGATGTTTGTGGGTTGGGTAGAGAAGCAGCTGGCAGGGAACACGGCATGGCAAATGCCAGCATTGTGGCCCACACTAGCTGTCCCACTAGCACAGAGGGATTAAGGGGGAAGAAAGACGCTATTAAATAACAGAGGGGCACAGAAGCAGAGATGGGGGCAGATGACAAGGCAGTGAGGTTTGGGAAGTGGGCAGATCTTCACGGTTGGGCACGACGAGGTTATTTCCATGATGACTCAAAGGTTCACTTCCTTTCTTCTAAATTGTCTGTAAAAAAGGGGGTGGGGGAGAAAATAAAGAATAAAGGGCAGAGAATGAAGAAATCCACACTGCAAGCGAGATGAACCACCTAGAACTAATTCTTGCAAAAATCAGTCTGTGATTGGGTTGGATGCAGAAGGCATGATGGAACTCGCCTCACTTATCTTCCTGGTCAGAAATCCAAAAGCAAATGGCACATAATCTTTAGCAAATAGCTGATATTGTTCCTGCTGTCATTTTCTACCCCTAGTAGGCATTTGTGCCTTTAACTGATTATGAGACAGATCTCGAGCAGCCAGATCTGTCTTCTACATCCCGTTGGAGAAACCCACACCTTCTGACTGGAGAAGGCATACCAAAATCCCATGAGCGTGGGGCACATGATTCCACGCACTCAATTGTTTTGAGCTTTCTTCCTCTTCCAATAATCACAATAAACCCTAGCAAGAATTTGCACTCCTTGGTATTTGTTGAGGGTATTTAAGTGCAGTGTCTCCATTTATGAATTCCTTCCTTAGAGACATGTGTCTGGTATTTTCTTCCCCTCCAATCTTTTTGAGAAATGTTTTTGCCTTTCGTATATTTTTAATTCTCTTTTTACTATATAATATTCTCACTGTTCCATGGTATACTTTAATATCTTATATTTCTGATGTCTGCTGTCATGGAATCTAGTGAATGTTTTAAATAAATAGATTGAAATATTGTAGATGCCTCACTGAAGGATGCCAGGTTGGAGAAAAATGGCCTGTGCACTGTCTTAGGACCAGAGAGACTCCTAAGAAGAAGATTCATAACGCAGTGCCCAGTGTTTTGTTTAGAAAGTTATCAGGAGATATACAATCATGTCTAAAAAGAAGTGCTATGACATAGTCTTTTAATTCCAGATTTATGAGTCTGACTTGGTGTTCAGGGGGAACAGCAATCTATTCAGGATATGCTCAAAAGCACTCTCTTCTTCCTGAATATTGCCTGTGGCTCTGACATTAAAGTAAGTTTTGAGAGAGCGCGTACCACAACTCAGTGTTTAACAACCCAATTAAACAAAATTAGAATTATCTAATCTTGCCTCCTCCTGTATTTATATTTATTTTATTTATTTTGCCCTGTCTGGAGACTCAAGGACCCAAGATATTCCAAAATTCATAGAACTGGTTTAAGAATCAACTGGGAACTATGGTATGGTTTACATTTCATTCAGTTTGCATTGACTTAGATGAAGTCTAAGACTGAATTCATAGAACACACTTCCTGCTAAGAGTTGGGTATCATATAAATAATAATAATAATAATAATAATAATAATAATAATTATTATTATTATTATTATTATTATTAGTGCAGTAGGCTTTGCATTGGCTGCCAACAGGTTTCTAGGTGGAGTTCTTGGTGCTCTCTGAATTTGGTTGTTTGC